GGGGGGGGGGGGGGGGGGGGGGGGGGGGGGGGGGGGGGCGGGGCTTGCGGGGGCAGATGGGGGGATCCACTGCGTTCCCCCAAAAAAATCACGGACTTGCTCCCCACGAGGAGAGGGGAGTAGTAACCTGGCTGACCAGGATCTGAACCCATCAAGATCTGAATGAAAACTCCAGAGTCCAAACCACTTACGCGAATTCGAGGTGGGAGGGAGGCTGTCCTTCTCTTCCCCACCAATAGATATGGAGTTACGAGTATAGATGCGCCCGAAGATTGAGGGGTGTCCTGTTCATCCCTAAATTCACGGTCGCCTGAACGGTTTTTCTTAAATATATTAAACAATAGTATAACGGAAAAAAAAAACGGGAGTAAAAATAACAGCAAACGGAGAACCCCATGGACATCACCCCTACCGGTAGCACCAGCTCCGGTTGTTCTATGTAAAAAAAAAAAAAAAAGGAAGACATAAATAAATAAATAAATGAGCGTCATGGACAGGTGGACTATAGAAACCGGCCAAGGAAAGAGGAGGTAAGGAGGGCTCACTACAGAGTTCTTGAAATTTACAAGTGTCGGGACCGTCGGGACGTTCTGCTCTCAAACTAAGGTCAAGTTGAGTTTAGCGGGAACTATCCCTCCTTGCCGCCTGGGCGTCTGGGCGCCTAAGCGCCTGGGCGCCAGGGCGGGGACTATCCCTCCTTGGCGCCTGGGCGTAAGATTCGTTTTGCGGGAAGATAAATACACACCCCTTTGCTCCTCATCCCTTCTATTGCCTCATAGAGACAACCAGCCAGCGGTGATTGCAATTATATCCCCAAGTGTCTTCCTGACCTCTCTTTCACCTACCGGTTACGACTAATCGGACGCTATTTTCCAATGGACTTATCCCCGCTGACCATTGACCTTTTTTTTTCTTTTTTTTTTTCCGGGATGCCTTACATTTTTTGGCGGGGAGGGAGGAGGGGGGGGGGGGGGGAGATGCCGACGTGGTTGTTTTACGAGGGAAGACGTTGTGCGATCTTGTAGCGGATCGGCCTTGCCGAACACGTCCCGGCAATTATCCCACCAGCATCTCACGTTCACGAGTATTCCGTTCAGCTGCGTATCAGAGACACGGTCGGGGTTCAACCAAGGGCTGGCTATTCCCAGTGATCCCTTTCACGACGAGCTTGAGTCTTCGCAGCGAGTTCTTCACTACGAGTATCTTCAACGGCGTTGAATAAGTCGTGTCCGTCTCGTTGTGGACTTC